AAAATTCCTGTTGCATTTCTTGTATTGTGTTGTTCATCAACTTGGGTGGTTATCATCGAGGATTAAATTAATTGCTGGTTTGATTTGGGATTGGTTTTCTTGTTGTTGTTGAATTGTTTTCCTATTGATGATGAATTATGTCTTGTGTTTTGGATGAATGGGTCCTTCTCCTCATATGGGTACGGATGGAAAAATAAGACGTTTGTTTAATTGTTTGTTGTATAATGAATTATTATTTTATTACATTAAATTATATATATACACATGTGCATAATTGTGTATGAATTTCTTCATTTCTTGATTATAAGATTGTGTATGATTGGCTTCTTTTTATTGGACAATGACTGATTGGTTTCCATAAAAAAAGCAATGTATGATTGGCGGCTGAAGAAGCTATATATGTGATGTCCAAGTAAAAGTGAGTTTATTGTTTCTTTTAGATGTTGGCCTTCAAGGACAAAATCTAGTGGAGAACCACCAAGGGTGGTGGAGGTGGTAAAGACACATATTTATGTTTAGGAGGAGTGAGTTCGATTTTTAGCAGTCAACACTTCTGCGTTATCCTCTTGATGGTCATAGGTAGGGCTGTAAGCTCTTATTAAATGCTTTTAGGATTTGTCGGGTATCTATGGGGTCGGGGTTTTCCGTCGCAAGACAGATTTCTCCTCATAAAAAAATCTAGCGGAGAAAGGATTGTCAGAGACATGACTCGTTAATCAGTCGTTAGTATTTATTTTGTCAGCTACGAAGACATTAGAGACTAATTAAAGAGAACACATGTCCCCCGCACTGTCCGCCTCATCCTCGGGTGCGGGAGATGCGCCTGCTGCCGAAGGCGCATCAGCCTCTAGTGGATCAAGCGCCTGCCCCCTCGGTGTGCCGAGCGTGTCCGCAATCACGAAGTTGGCCATGTCTCCCAAATCCCATGCCTGGTCCGAGTGATCGCGGTCGAGCTTCTTCTTCAGGATGCCTATTCTCGTCAGGCAGACTTTTGCAAGGAGTCTTCGTAATGCTCCAAGGACGCCTTCAGGGCGACAATCTCCTTCCGAGCCGCCTTCATGGCCTTCTTATAATCTTTGTGACCATGGGACATGGTCGTCAGATCATCTTGGAGCCTCATCTTCTCTTCCTTGAGAAGGTCGATGTCGCTAGCTTGGGCTCCCACCTCTTTTGACAGCGCCTCCTTCTCGGACTCCAAGGCTTCGCATCGACGCCTCTCATCGTCGAGGACGGTCTACAGACGGGAAACCTCCTTGGCTGCCTCCAACTGAGAGTCTTCACACTCCTTCACCAGCTGCTCGCGCCGCATGTTGTTCGTGGCAAGATCGTCCTTCACCACAGACAGGGAATTCGAAGCAGCCAGACTCTATGCTTCGGCTGCCTCCAGGCATCGGGCGCCTCTCTTCGCAAAAAGGAGCACCTACATTGGAAAATTTAAGTTAGAACCTCCCATGAAAAACTTGGGAAACACATGAAAAGATAATCAATTACCTTGGCGCCCACTTGGGCGAGCTCTGCAAAGAGTTGCTCTTCATCGATCTCCGAGGGCACCTACAACATCTTTGCCGCAGAAATTGCCAAGGCCATCGCACAAACTCGATTAACGGTGGCGCGAGGAGAGCAAGGCAGGGCGATGCGCCCAAGCTCGGTCCGAAGGGGCTGAAGAAGTGGAGGGCGCCCTTCCGGCCCAACGTAGTGACTTTGTACGAACCATCCCCTGGCATGAAACCCGGAGCGGACGCAGTCGATGTCCCAGCAGACGGAGGCACCCTCTATAAAAGCAAAAAGCGAAGCACCCGCACAACCGCAACGCGAAGTAAGTGGCGCCCATGCCTCAAAAGAAACAATCGAGGATGCAAAATAAAATGTTAAATTGAAATAAAACTGGGCGCTTACCAGGGTTCGATGGGGCGCCTTGCTCAGGAGCAGCGCCCGCGCCAGCAGATTGGTTCGGTGAGGCAGACATGTTGAGGAAGATTCAAGCGGGGAAGGATATGCGAGCGGCAGGTAAGGCGAAGGCCAGAGAGAAGTTAGAGAGAGGGCGTGCTTTGAAGAGGTAGGAGACAAAATGAGGGCAATGAGAAGTATTTATAGGAAAGGAGGGGGGCACGCCTTGGGATCCGCGCTTGTTCGCCACATGTCACGATCTCGGATGGGTATTCGAATTTCAAATTTTGAAATTTGAAATTCAAATACACGTCCGAGAGGGAGCAAGGGGCCCACGCTAACTAGGCACCTGTGTCAAGAAAGAATAAAATCAGCTGTCGACAAATTTAGCACGCTATCCAGGCGCCCTAGTCTGAAAAATCATTAGTGGATGGATGCCCCGTCCCGTGAGACTGAGGCGCTTGCAACGAGGAAAGGGTGGCATTTCCCACGCAAGGGTTGACAGGGGGGAGCACGCAAGGTAGGCGCCTAAATGAACAAATAGGAAAAGCAGTAGTTGACAGATGGAGTGCGCTAACCAGACGCCTGTGTCAAGAAAGAATAAAATAAGTAGTAGACAAATTGAGCACGCTATTCAGGCGCCCGAGTCTGAAAAATCATTTGTTGACAGGCGCCCGGTCTCGAAAGAACGAGGCGCCTGTAGCGAAGTAAGGGGCATTTCCCACGCGACGATAGGGCGTCCCACTAGGCAAAGATACGAAAACCAAGATAACGGAAAGGAAAAACTTAGGAGAAGACTAAAGATCAGCAGGCGCGCAACTCAGCAACGAGGCGAGGCGGTATGCGATAGGCGAAATAGCACAAGATAACAGGCGCCCAACGCAACAAAGAAGATGAGCGAGAGTCGTGGGGCGCCTAGTTCAGCAATGCCAAGGTGCCGATTAAAGTGGCATGTATGGGCGGGCCGCCTATCGGATGACGACGGGTGGACCCGCTAGTAGTTCATCGAAGCCGAGGCCCCTATGAAGGGAAGATCGTGGGATAAAGGGGAGACTCGCGTAATCAGGCCCTTGAACATATTCAGGCCCTCAAGTTTCAGAAACTTGAGAGCCTAACTGGGGGCAATTGTTGGGGGAATTACAAAGATAGACCCAAGACGGCCCAATAAGGAGGAAGAGGGTTGCTCCATGGGCCCAACCCACAGGTTGTCCCGCGGGGCCAAGCCAAGGTGTGATGAAAGAAGTTAGGAGGCAAGGTGCGGAAGTCTCCAAGAGAGTACGGTCTGGGCTTCCAGCATTTGTCAGAAGCCTGACAAGTTGGTCGGGGCGCCCAGCTTGACAGAAGTACGGAGCATTAAATGCGATGCTGACGTGGATCTAGGTGCAAGAAGCTCGGTTCAGGGTTGGGTGAGTATAAATAGTGCCGGTATGTAGCATTTATGCAAGTTGGATACTCTCACTAAACACTAGAGCTTGGTACTTCTCTCTCTAAGGTTCAAACTGACTTGATCGTCGGAGGACTAACAGGCCCAGGCGCCCTCCTTCGTGTGCGTGTGTGCAGGTCAGGTGCTTAGAACTCGTTGCGCAAGGTTTGAGCTGGTGGGGAATTGGGCTCCAAAGTATATGGGCTCAAACAGATACTATTATACCTTTTATAGTTAATGTTGGCAGGATACTAACAGATAGGAAAGTGACACTATGTGGTCTCAAAATTTTTGGAACTTGGATACTGAATTTATTTTGGAGTTCATATTGATTTTAACGTTATCCAGTATTTATTATCGAGATATCATTACCTTATGAATCCACCCCTAACTTACGTGACAGTGAAGTTTTTACCAACTTTTGCTACTACCTCTTCCATGGACGGGCTAAGATCAGGTGACCTTAGTCACATGACTAAGTGAATCTCAGCCATTGAACCTCATTTAAATTTGATGGTTCTAATTAATCTACTTTAATAAAGTGTAATGTAGTAATTACACAGTTTATTTATTTGAAAAATAAAGTATAAAAAATAGTTGTCGACGATCCTTGTCATTCCCTCCGCCCACCGGTTGTCGAGGAATTTATCGGCAGCGGTGTAGTTTTTTTTTTTTTGCCCATGGCTCAAATATATATATATATATAGAGAGAGAGAGAGAGAGAGAGAGAGAGAGATTCTGCTTACCAGATAATGTTTGTAAGTCTGGTTTGTAATGTTTGTATCAATTCGTTTTGTATTGTTTATCATTCTTGTTTGTCATTTTTAGTGACATTTTGTACGGTTAGTATGTTTTGTACTGTTTGTCGATTTATTTTGTAATGTTTGTATGCTTTGTTATTTTGTAATGTTTGTAGATTTATTTTGCAATGTTTGTAAGCTTTGTTATTTTTTTGACCATGTTTATCATTTTTGTCAACCATGTTTGTAATATTTTTTTATGTCTAAAAATCAACCTGGTTGACTTTTGGATGGAACTCTTCTATATAGGGATGAAGCCTCCAAAGTCAACCCGGGTGTTTTTCCAGTTTGTATGATTTGTCGGTCTAGTTTGTCATTTTTGTGCACCATGTTTGTAATGTTTGTATGTCTAAAAAACAACTGGGTTGACTTTGGGACAAAGCCCCTCTATATAGGGACGAAGCCTCCAAAGTCAACCCGGTTGTTTTTCTTTTTGTGTGGTTTGTATTGTTTGTCGGTCTCGTTTGTATTATTTGTACAGTTCATACGTTTGTAATGTTTGTAAATCTGTTTGCATGTTTTGTCTTTGTAATTTGTATTGTTTGTATGGTTTGTATTGAGTGTAAGTCTGGTTTGTATACTTCGTAATTTTCCATAATACCCAAACTACCTCTGTCATTAATTAAATATCCCTTCCCATTTTTTAACCGTCAGATTGTTGTGTCCAGATCTAAGAGTTGGAAGGGGTTTAGTCACATGATTCGGACCCTCCATGGACTATTAATATTGGTGATTACTACCGAAAAAATATATATATTAGTGAGTACTATCGGCTTTTTGATCCATCTAACGTCATAGGTGGTATGAAATCCATAACAACCCTAACAGTTTTCAAACTTATTGTTTATTCGGACTTCCCTTTCCTCTATAACATGCGTTGGTTACATTTTGTATTTTCTACCATAATTAACAAACACCCCCGCAAACTGTAGCCACCACAACTATTCAACATATATGAATGGAAAAAAGAAAGAACAGAAACCAGTAGTCCTTTTCTTCAACCCTCTTGCTCCTGCTAATCATCGATCCTTTGTTTCAGCAGTCATCTCAATGAAGCAACAAAATGAGTTCATAAATACATTTCCTAGCTTTCAGCATTTTATATGAGGGGATGGTAAAGCTACAATGAACTTTTCATTCTTTCCAATGCTACGAGTTCTGATAACTGTTTGAGTCGAGAGACTTGGAGATATACCCTCCAAGTCCCAATAAGAAAAGAAAAACTGGAAGCTTACAGGAACAGGCTTGCTTTGCCTTATGGTTGGTTACCAAGAATGAGGCATATTCTGTCTCCCATAAAGAGCATAAATAAATGATCGACTGCCACAACAATGATCACTGCTAGTTTTTTTTTCTTTTCTTAAATGTGGTCCTTCAATAACCCTATATACACAACGTGAATGAACAAATCTTGTAAAGAAACCGATTGGAAACAAACAGTTTCCTACTTTTCGAGCTTCTTTGGACCTTCATTCTCATCCATTTTTGTAGGAAGAGACCAAAGCAGCTATCTTGTGCAGCACTGAAGATGCCTTGGCATTAGGAAGAGGTGATGAAGCTTCCTGATACCTGTGAAGGCTTCCTGTGAAATCCGTGAACAGTCCATCGACTCCTATTTTGTTGATCCAGTAATCATATTCTTGGTAAGGGTCTTGATGAAAGTCGAAGTGCAAGTACTTGTTTTCATTTCTGTAAGTGTAGGGATGCACCTGAGGAACATTCAGGTAACAAACAAACTCAAACTTCCATGTTTTACAAGGATCAAGCTGAAACTGAAAGTCTGAAGCAGATAACTCTCAGAAGGAAGGATTTCAGAGAACATAATCTAAGTTAATTTCTGCCAACGTGTAAAAAATGGCGATGTTTATGGGATAAAAGAATAGGCAGCAATCATTCCAACTGATACCTGCAGGTTACGGGCATGTGCTCTTGCGACTAGATCAGTAGGTGCTTGCAGATATTCATTCGCAACAGGGACTACAGTATCTTTCCAAGGTCCAATCCCCACCACATAATTCTTAATATAGTTCAGATAGGCATCAGAGGTGATTTCGGAGTAAGTCTGCAGATTGTTACTAAAATAGTCATGCTGCTACTCAGAAGAACATGAAAGATACTAGCACAACAGTCAACCACAATAAAGCTGTTCTAATGCGTTCCACAATCGGTTAAGAAACACAAACCTGATTGGTATCCTCAGTTACAACAGTGACGTCATCAATGAGGAAGAGCAATGGGATATCGGTCAAGTTTGAGACATACACAAGTGAAGTTGGGGCAAAAGACTGAATAAACACTGGTTGTTTCAGCCAATCTTTGACAAGTATGAACCTTTGTAACCATACTTTTTGAGTGTCTCCATGAAAACATCTTCATATCTTCGACCCCCAGACCATTTTACCTGTCAATTATAAGTTAGCAGTTCAAAAAGTAAGTGTCATCATCTCTTCACAAATTTTCGACAAAGCAAGCTTCTAAAATCATCATTCTAGCCACTTGTTAAGAACCCATTGGCCGGATCTATAACATGAATAGTAGCTTAACCCCGGTAGAGACTCGGAAGAAAGGAAAAAAATAGAATCTCTAGTGTTTATAAACAAGCATCAGCTTCCTGCAACTATTTCACATATATAATATTGCCTGAAGACAATGAATGAAAGCAAACAAAAGTGAGAAGGAAAGAGAACAGATTTCTCACATGCTCATTGTTGAACACTGGGTTCTTCATCTCAGGATATATCCCTACCACTCTTGGAGCATCCAGTGCAATTGAAATGTACTCTTCAAAGGTGATAATAGGATATTTTCCTGAGGTCACAGCAAGGGATAAGATTAGTAAAGTACATGCACTTTTAAGACTTGATTTGCACATATATTCTATAATTATAAGTTCACTCGTCGAATCTTACGATCTCATGTTAAAGCCAATATTTGTGACTACTAGTACATATAAAGTACCCCAAAAAGCTAGAAGGGCCAACTCATTCAAAGAGAAGGCACCCCCACCATTATATTGTGGATCTCTGAAATTGAGCCTCTGCTTTGTCCGCAATGTCTTCAGTTCTTCAAGAGTGAAATCAGCTGCACACGAACAACAGATATAAGATGACTCCTTACTGAAACAGATGTCAAGAATAATCAATGACTCGAAAAATCAAGGACTAGAGCTAACAACCACAGATGTGGAGTCTCACTCTGAATTAGATGCCTAAGTTTTTACATAAAGCAGCAGAAAGCATGGCATAAATCAGCATATAAGAGATTTTTTTACCAATGAAATAGCCCGTCATATTTGACCCTTGAACCATATAGGTCCTCCTCCTATCAGCAAACTTCTTGTGCTCCTTAACATCGGTGGTGTCATCAAGTATAAGATCATGTGCGCAAACCAGAACACCATCTTTTGTGGCTAATATGTCACCTTCTATGAAATCTGCTCCCTCTTCGATGGCTCTCTATGAAAACAGCACAGCCATAAATCAGAATATGAAGTCAAGTGAAACACCTAAATGTAAGTAAACTTTATGTTTGGAGGAACATAAAAGAAAAGAACCATAAGTTGTTGGTATATAAGTAGTGTGGTGGCCAAACGTACCATGTAAGCAGGTCCTGTTTCTTCAGGGATTTCTCCATTCGATCCTCGATGCGCAATATTATAAGGCCGAGAAGTCTGTAGAGGCTGTTTGGCACCCTGAGCTAGCTTGCTGGGTAGAGGGTAAAGTGGCCTTGCAGCACACACAGCCACCAGTGACAGAAATATGATAGGAGCAAAGCCTGATAGATATTTTCCACAGTCAAACAGAAGATAACCATTTATCCAAGAGGAAACAGACAACCTCAGAACTATCAACGATCAAACAAAACCACATTCAATTTCCATTTACTCTTTAGAACAGCAATAAATTCAGACGAAATTATCATGAAAAAGCAGACGAAATTGCAGGATATAAAATGCAGAGACAAATTGTCCTATTACTAATGTAAAATTGGAACTCCTAGGAAAAGATAGTGTACAAAGCTCAATCTAGCACCCAAAACTTTTATCCGATTGGAAAGAAACGAATGTAGTCAGAAGTCATAACCCAACAAATGGTTTAATCGTCACAAAACAACCCAGAAAAATTAACGAAAGGAAAAGGGAAAAAGGAGAAAACGAAAACCCAAGAGCCATAGTCGAAGGAGTTATTAGAAAGCTTACATCTTGAACCCATTGCGATCGGCCCCAGCTTCCCTCCGATCCTTTTCTGTCCCGCTCTGATGGTGCAATTAGAGAAAACCCCTCTGCTTTTATGTACAAGCTTTGCCTTCACGAAATGGGTTTTCTGTTTTGCAGTCAAACTATATATGCTTTGGGCGAAGAAGCGCCGTTGCGGCACATTCGTAAGGTCATCGCGGATTGGGAGACGGAATCTCGTGGAGACAAAACTATCCGTGGATATGGATTGTTCTGTTTATGTGGAAAGGAATTTGGTATATTCCTCTGTTGATGAAGCTTAACCAAAGACGATTACGATAATCTTTATACGAAGGATTATTTGGATCATTATCTATCTGATTATTCTCTAACTAATACGGATATATGTGCTGATATTCATGTAGCGGTTCAAGTTAGGGTGCATAATCTTGGATGTTTAACATGAATAATTAAATATGTATCCTTCTTTTTAATTGGCTGCAGATTTGAGAGTTGTGAATCAAAATCATTTTATTTTTTCCTATTTTTTAATCAGATCATATCTTCTTCATTCTAATTTGGATTTTAATTTTAATTTTTTCATTGTGCTCTACAAAATGAGATTCATTTTCAATATTTTTTGTGCTAGTATATGACATGCTCTTATTTAATACCAGTTAATACCATATGGCATAGACAGGTGAAAAATTACTCAAAATTTTTTATTCTATTAATATATCAAAGTGGATATTATTTTTAAAAGCACAATTAATCTTATCTAACTATGCAAAAAAAATTAAATACCGCCTTAAAACGAGTGAGAAATCGTTTGTTAAAGGTTAATAGAGAAAATTAAAAGCTTTCCAATAAAGAGAAAAGGGGTTGATGTGACAATTGAGATTGAATTATGCATATAATTATACACCACAAGATTATGTATGAAATTTGTTCCCACCTGAGCTCTCCATAAAATCCGCGGTGAAAAAATAAAGTATAATAAAACTATAATTCTTAAAATGATCATCATATATAAATGTTAGCGTCAAAATAAATATTTTTTTAGGGAAATCTGTATTTATTAATTAAGCAAGATAATCAGAGTTTTCAAGAGCATCCTCTCTAAGGAGAGGTACAAGTACTTGAGGTGGGCTAGTAACCCAAACCTCTTCACCAAACATCTGGGCTTTGATCCGGATCTCTTCACACATTAGTCCGATTTCTGTTTCCCTTCTCTCTCCCTTTTCAGCTGTTGAACAACACCCAAACAGTTAAATTCCACTTCCATTTCCTCAATTCCCCTTTGCCTCGCCATTTCCAGGCCGAAATCCACCGCCATCACCTCTGCCTCCTCCGGGTTCCACTGCATCCGCGATTTTTTCACCGCCTCGAAGAGAAAATTACCAACCCCATCCCTAACCACCATTCCCCATTCCGTTCCTTGGCCGTCGAAAACCGCAGCATCGACATTGATCTTCACGGACCCAGTCATCGGAGGTTTCCATTTCTGCTCCGCCGTCCGCACCACTAGTTCAGGCTTCATTTGCTTCGCCAGGTAATCCTGCAGCCAGTCACTAGCTCGAGGTAGTATCTCCCATTCCTCTAATTTCTTCTTGTTCCCCAGTTGACAGTTCCGCTGATCCCATATATACCAGAGGCCCACCAGAAAGGATCCGATCTGGTCCTCCGATTCTGTCTCCTGCAACTCACAAAACCATTCCTCCGAGGTAAGGTTTTCTCCTCTATCTATGAATGAACCCATTGTGCTATATCGCCAAACCCTTCGAACCCAAGCGCATTCCCAAAAGATGTGCTCTTGGGTTTCCACTAGCCCGCAAAAGGGGCAGTCATCACTTCCCTGTTGAGTACGTTTTAGGATTCGAGATTTTGTAGGGGCGTCAAAATAAATTTTCAATCAACGTGAATGGGATGCCGGATAAGTGTGTGGGATGGTAGAAATGATAAACAAATAAAAACACAATTTTAATTTATAATTTTAGATTTTCATAAAATTGTTTTTTTATAAGGACTAGTAGGGCTGGCTATTTGGTCCAGCCTATTTGGTTTTATCCAAAACCGGACAGAATCGAATAGCAAACAATCCAATCCAATCTTCGGGTTTAGATTTTAGGTAAAAACCCATTTGGGACCGGATTGAAAATCGGATAAAGACCGTATAAGAGAGCCTAATACCCAAAACTTGACCAACTCCTCACCCTTTGAGTCCTCAGGCCACTCAAATCCCCACAAGTCAATCTAAAATCAAGACCGAATTGGGACCGAACCAGGTCAAGACCGGACCGGATCAAGATCGGACTGTATCCAATCCAATCTTTGGTCCTTATAATCCCTAAAAGACCAGATTGGGACCAGATCAATTCGGCCCAATTTAACCGGACCGTATAGTCACCTCTACTAACGAGTGAATGTGACTTTGCATATTCTGAAATGTTTGTAAAATACATTCATCACTTATGTTCTTAACCAAACTTTTTATGATGTACACAACTACATAATCATTAATACATTTGTTAGTTAGTTGATTCCGAAAATAGAAGGGAGTCCTAATTTATTCCAATTCGTTAGGGAATTGTTTTGTCCCAAAAAGGAGAAGACAAATAAATGACCACACAACATTTTACATAGGTCTGTTAGGCGGTGCAGTTACTGCTAAACTGAACCAAAGATGCGGTTATCCGCCATTGACATCAACCCAAAACCGCTCACCGCAATCGCCACCGAGAAGTTGTCGATTAGCCGCCACCGATACTAACCTCACACGATGCGATTTTTCGGGTGGCCGATAATCGATGGAAACTTGTAGCTGCGGTTAGCGATTTGTAACCAAACCGAAAAACCGACCATTATAATTCTGCTGTTGTTGCCGCCTCCTGGCTGCTATTCAGTGGATGCTTGCTGCTACCTACATTGTCAAATTGCTGATATATGTACGATATGGTATTTGTAAGAAGAATTAAACAATAAATATGAAGGTCTGACATATATTATCATCTAAAACACCAATTGTCCAAGTACAAACAACAAGAAGTCATGCATAACTCATAAAATCATAAGTCATAAGTTCACATAAAAGATAAAACAATAAGTGCAGACATTCAACTTCCAAATTCAAATCAACCACCTATATCCTAATCATTCTTATATTGCTCCAAATCCTCTTGTCCATAATCATCATCAACATTAACATTTTCATTCTCCTCTATTGATTGACATCGGAATCGTAATCAACGCTACCAACAACTATGGTGGTGGTCGTACCCGTGGGTTAGGAGTAGGCTCAACCGATAAACTTTGGCTTAGGCCATCATGGTCACTCCCACTTTGACTATCAATTCGAGCTTGTAAAGTGTTATAAACTACATGAAAAAAAAATAACTAAAGTGCTAACAAATTATCATTCATAAACTAAGATAGGCAAATTGTTAAATATGAAAAGTAAAACAAAATGAGAAGGAAGAAAAGAGATATTATCACTTTCAAACTCAATTAGCTTTTGGGGATCCTCTTCATCATCAACTAATTGGGATTGCACAAATCAATGCCTCCACAATTTTAGGGGTGAGAGAGGACCTGAACAAGGATAGAACCCGACCTTGTGTGCTGAAAGCCGACTTTGAGGCAACAGAAGAAGTTGAAATAAGTCAAATATCCTTCACCATTTCAAAAAGCACATGATATCTAATGTTGTTTCAGAACCACCATTTCAGAAAATCAAATTTCTCGTCATCCTCAAGAATAGCATCATCTGCATCTCTTAGATAGATATGCAACTCTGAAGAACTTCAAATACCTTTATTGAGCTCCCTCCTTCTTCTTGAACTCAGAGGTAAATTTCCCTCCCATCACCAAACCACTACTCAAACTCTCACTAGTGGTAATAGCTTCTACTCCTACACCACTTTGAGTACTACTCCCATCAGTAGCCTCACTTGAGAGCGGATGTGGGAACTTTGTTTTGTTATTTTCAAACATAGTAGACATACATCTGTTTCAAGATCGAAGACATAGTAGACATACATCTCTTCTTTAATGGAATGAGCCAAATGCTTTCCACTATTTTCCCCATACATCTGTTTCAAGATCGAAGACATACCCTATTTTGCACCTAGGATATAACACACATGCCAGCCATGTATATCACACAATTCATTTTTCTATTCTCTTTGTTATCTTTCTCAAATCAATATTTGGCTAGCTTTGCTTTAATCCTTACCGTCATTAGGCATGGCAATTGGTGGGTATGAGGTCGGGTAATGGCTCTCCTATCCCCGCCCATACTTACAAATGAGTGTTATCCGTCCCCGTCTTGAATGGGCTATGGCTACTAAATCACTACTCATCCTTGTACCCGTGCAGGTTTGGGAATTTCTCGGTTCCCCGGGTTTTACATGCCACACTCAACAACCCCTTCCTCCTTGCCAACTGTAACCCCTTTGCCAACTGTTTCCCTCCTCATATTGTTGTTACCGCCTCTCCCTACCTCTCTTTCTCTTACTTTTTTATTATAAAGCTATTTTTCTCTTACTTTCTCCCACCTCTTACTTTCCTCCTCCAAAGAAGGAACATAAGAAGAAAGAAATAAAAATCACTCCATTCCTCTACCTTCTAGATATGCGCGCATCTCCCTTTCTTCTTCCTTCCATCGTCGTCGATCAACCAGGGAAGCACAAAATTGTTGGTTTGTTGGGCGCTGGAAAAGCAAGAATCCATCTCCAGTTTCAAATCCTCTAGGGTGGAGATGGCGACGGACTCGTCTGAATTGACATGAGAAAAGCGATTGGATTCATGGAGGGGGAGATCTAGTGAGAGAAAGAGCCTACAAGTTTTGGAGAGGCGATGCATGTCGTCGTCCATACCAAAGGTGGGTGTTGGCGGTGAGGTTCGACCGAAGCAAGATCAAGAGTGATTGAGGTGCGTTGTTGAAGTGGGGAGATCGAGAGGGTTTTCCTGTCGTTATTGAGTGTCAATGGAGAGGGATTAATTAAGGTGTGTTGTTTAGTTTGGAGTGGAGTGGAGGGTAACAAGCCAACAGGGGAGTGGGGGCTTGGGGGAGTCGAGGTGGGTTGGGTTGGGACTGTATGCATATCAAACGGGGTCAGGGCGGATAGTCTGATATCCAACCCCGATCGGATCAGTACCCTCTTCCACACATATACCGGGTTTCCCCGAACCCGACCTATATCCAATGTTTACGTGTTTCCAGGCGAGCTTGATCGGGTGGGCGCGGGTTATACCTGCTAACAAAGGTACCCACTGACATTCCTAACTGTCATACGTCATCATCATCTGAATCATCCCTAACTATCATAAATATCC